CCCGTGTTGTGGGGCATCATTTCAGGTACTGATAGAGGTGAGGTTGATCGAGGCAAGAAGCGTGAGTAGACTGTACCTGATAGCTGGACATGTTGAGTTGCATGCCATTTAGCATTGCTATATGTATATTTTGATGCCACATGATGTATTTTGGAGGACTTAGTGCATGATCATTGTAGTAGTAATGGGTATCTGATACATGGTTACTTGCTTTGATCATGTTCATTTTGTAGCTAAGTCCTTTGGCATGTATATGAGAAAGGCTTAAGCGCCCTGATGCACCTGTGAAGACCAAAAGCTTTCTGCCGCCCATGGGGCTTTAGCGCCCAAATTGGGGGCTTAGCGCCCAGGTAGCGCGCTTAAGCGCCCTGGAGCGAGCTTAAGCGCCCTTGGTGGCTAAAAAATGTAAATTCCCTCTGTCTGTGGGCGCTTAAGCGCCCTGGAGCGAGCTTAAGCGCCCTACCCGCGTAGTTTTTCAGCATACACCTGAGTTAGTAAAATTGTCATAACTTGAGCTACAGAGCTCCAAATGAGGAGCGGTTTGAAACCACGCGTAGCTAACAAAGAGATCTACAATATATTAGAAGTTGGGAAATAAATAAGAAGTAAATTAATGTTTTAAAAATGGAATAAGAACATGATATTAAGCTTGATTTATCTGATTCCGCAAAGTAATATGGTTATGATCACGCAATTGGGCATTATAAATTCGGCATGTTTTAAAATGAAAAATTTAACCGGATTTTAATTGAACCCATGTGATTGTAACTGCGCTTAATATCATAATGCGATGTTAACAAACCGGTTCTAGAACGGGGTGTTACATTTTATGGTATCAGAGCAGTTTCGTCGGGAATAACTGTTAGCTATTGTTGAGTATGCTTAGTGTTTGATGCTTTATAGTTGTTTTAGTACTCTTGATGATTATTGCATTTGTGATCACTAAGTGTGGGCCTGATCAACTCACTTCTTTGTGTAACATGTGTAGTGACATGACGAGGCACCGAAACAACCCCGGACCATCAAACACCAATGCTCAGCCAGAACCTGTTTTGGCTGCTCTTGTGAGGCCCAGAAGTGGCCGTGGGGCAACGGGCGTACCGCCTGATCCCGTGGCTGAAGCTCTTGCAGCCGTTCAGAGAGAGTTGGCTGCTAGCAGGCAAGCCAATGAAAATTTGTTAAAGACAAATGAAGACTCGCGGACTGCTATGGCCGCGATGATGACCGAGTTGAGGACGTTGAGGGGTCCTAGGCCCGTGAACCGGCAACCCACTCCTCCTCCTCACACTGCTACGCCTTCTCCACCTCCTTCACAGGAAGAGGGTGTAGCGGGTAACAATGAAGGTGAGGCTAGCCACCATTCTGATAGTCATAGCCATCACATTGAGGTCCGTCAACCACGTGTTGAGCGTGTTGACGAGCATGAAGCTGAAGAAAGAAGATTGATGGCTTTCCGGAAACACAAACCTCCTTCTTTTAAGGGAGGTTATGAGCCAATGGCGGCTGCGAAATGGCTCCAAGCTATGGAGAAGATATTCAGGGTGATGAGATGCCCTGATGCAATGAAGTTGGCCTACTCTGTTTATATGCTGGAAGAGGAAGCGGAAGATTGGTGGACCAATACCGTGCAGCCATTAGAAGCTGAAGGCCGGGAAATCACCTGGCGGTTGTTCGAGACGTTGTTCTTGGATAACTACTTCCCTAGGGAGGCTAGGGAACAGAAACAGAATGAGTATAACGATCTCAAGCAAGGGTCGATGACAATTGACCAATATTTCGCCAAGTTCAATGAATTGGTGAAATATGCTAACTATGGGAGAGCCTTACCCATTCCGGCCGAGATGACCTCTAAATTTCAATGGGGTCTAAATGAGAAGATGTCTCGAAAGATGTCAAATTGTGACATCCGAGAGTTTAGTAGATTCGTGAACCAATGCCGGAAGGTGGAAGAAGTTTATGGTGTGCCGAAAAGTAAGAAGTCTTCCGAGGCACAAGCATCTGGTGCTAGTGGAGCAACTGGCTCTACTTCAGAAAAGGGTAAGAAGATGGATGACAGGAATATTAAAGAAAAATTACAAGCTAGACAGTCTGAAGAAAAGTTTAAAATAAGCGGGAGTCAACAGAGTTGGGACAATGAAAGACCTATTGTGCCAAAGTGTGACAATTGTGGCAGGCATCACAAGGGCGTTTGTTTGATGGGCCAGAACGTATGTTTCAAGTGTGCTAGACCTGGTCACTATGCGAGGGATTGTCCCCAAATCGTGGGACGAGTTGCTCATGTGCAAGTGGTCTCTGGTCTTCCAGCAGCGGCACATGTTAGCACTTCGACCCAACCCCAGCTAGAGAGGTTCCCATACTTGACGGGAGGTATGACGCATGTAGATTAATATGACATGCATAGTTTATTGAGGTTGGAGCCACACATGCTTAGACTGTGGACTCAATTATGATTGTGTGATTCGTTATGTCTAGTAATTAAAGACTAGACTATGTATTGATTGCTAAAAGATGGTAAGTTGTATGCAATGATCTTTCCATGGATGTAGTGGTAGTATTACCTCCATGAGGATAGTATCCTATGAGATAGAGAATTCTCATTAAAGGTCTAGATTGAGGGGAACTTCCCTTGGAGTTAGCCTTCGGGACCTCCTTGTGGTCAGATACCTAAGAGAAACAGCCCATAGCGGATCTCTCTTGGAAGTTCCATCAGATGAGATTTTATGTATGAGGTTATTAGTAGGACCGCAGAAGGTCAGGGTTAAATATCAAGTGAATAGGTATGACCCTTGAGGAAAATGAAAGATAAAAGTGCTGGAACATATTAGTATCACCTAATTATAAAACATAGATTGAATCATGAATGAAACATTTCATCTTATGATAAGATGATGAGGAAAAGAGGAACTGAATAATAGGGTAACTTCGGGAACACAAGAAGAGTTCTCGGATAAATCCATAGATGATTGAATGAGTGGTTTTATCGATTTTGAGGACAAAATCGTTAAAAAGGTGGGGTGAATATAATACCCCAAACTTAAGGATTTAATTGATTAATTTTAATTAAATAATTAAGCATGTTTTAGTGAGTAAAATTAAGTATAAGGCTTAATTAAATGAATCTGAGTCACTTTGGAGTTAAAAAGTATACTCAGTGAAAATTAAGGGGTATAAATGGGTACTGGCGAAAGTGCCCAAAATATAAAAATAAAATTATAAATATTCCTAGAATAATATTCTAGACTTTTGGGTAAAGTTTGGTCATTAATGGAGTTGAATAGATAGACGAACTAATACCCGCATTATTTCACTTAACCAATGTTAAGTGATAAAGAACACAAAAGAACCCAAACCCCCCCAAGCAACCCGTCGAGCATCAGAGAAGAGGAAAGGAAGAAGGAGAAAGAAGAAGAAGGGAAATGAGGGAGGAAGAGAGAGTGAGAGCAAATCTTAACCGATTGGAGTGATTCAAAAGCCTAAACCACTCTAAATCTTCCCCTCTTTCATAATCTAAGCTTAGTTTGGAGTGGGGAGCATTGTGGTGAGAGATATTGCCTCTCAAAAATTCGGCCCTTTGTGAGATTTTGGGGTTTTGGGGGTTTCTACCTCCATGGAAGCTTGAGGAACACTCATTCCTCTATTGTGTGATCATTGGTGGTAAGTTTCCACTCTCTTTCACATGATTCTTGGAGATTTGCATGAGTTTAGGGTTAATGAATAGTGTTTTAGGGTTTTTATGAAATGTTGAGTAGATTGGCTATGTTCAAGGAAGAATGAGGCTTAGAGTATGTTGTGAAAAATGCTAGGAATGACATTTAATCGGTAGAAATGAGTTTATAGTGTTATTTTAGTATGCTTTGATGTTTGGAGAAATCTAGGCTTGGAACTATGGATTTCCTTGCATTGTTAGCATTGTTTGATTGTATTCCTTGTGTTGATAGGATTGAGGCAAGAGGACCAAGTGGAGTGACCAACCCTTGGGGTTGTGTGCAATTGAGGAAAGCTCAAAGAGCAAGGTAAACCTTTGGACCTTGTGGTTGATCCCATTGAGTGTTCCACCATACTCCGTTGAGGAGAAATGGTTTATGAGATGTGATATGTAATTATGATAGTGATTGTATGCTCATGCATTGATTCATGCATTGATACATGTTATGATTGATTGATGATTATTGGTTGATGTTTGATTGTTTAAGAGTAATTGAGGAATGATTATAGAAGTAGCAATAATGAATGAGGTAATGGTTGAGGATTGTGATTGAGGTTATGCGTGATAGTATTATGATGAGGATGATTGGTAGGAACTTCCCTTGGAAACAGCCCTATGTGGATCTCCATGTGGTTAGAGCCTAAGAGGAACAGCCCTATGTGGATCCCTCTTGGAGGTTCCTAGATTGAGGAAAGGACTTCCCTTGGAAACAGCCCTATGTGGATCTCCATGTGGTTAGAGCCTAAGAGGAACAGCCCTATGTGGATCCCTCTTGGAGGTTCCTAGATTGAGGAAAGGACTTCCCTTGGAAACAGCCCTATGTGGATCTCCATGTGGTTAGAGCCTAAGAGGAACAGCCCTATGTGGATCCCTCTTGGAGGTTCCTAGATTGAGGAAAGGACTTCCCTTGGAAACAGCCCTAGGTGGATCTCCATGTGGTAAGAGCCTAAGAGAAACAGCCCTTTGAGGATCTCTCTTGGAATAGATTAAGGAAAAGACTTCCCTTGGAAACAGCCCTATGTGGATCTCCATGTGGTAAGAGCCTAAGAGAAACAGCCCATAGTGGATCTCTCTTGGAAGTCCATGTGATGCTTGTGGATAAGAATGTGTTAAGCTATTATGATTATGTGTACACCAAAGTGAACCTTAGGGTGGAGTGATCTCCAAGGACCTCTGGTTTACTGTGATATATTCGTATATCTCACCCCGTGTTGTGGGGCATCATTTCAGGTACTGATAGAGGTGAGGTTGATCGAGGCAAGAAGCGTGAGTAGACTGTACCTGATAGCTGGACATGTTGAGTTGCATGCCATTTAGCATTGCTATATGTATATTTTGATGCCACATGATGTATTTTGGAGGACTTAGTGCATGATCATTGTAGTAGTAATGGGTATCTGATACATGGTTACTTGCTTTGATCATGTTCATTTTGTAGCTAAGTCCTTTGGCATGTATATGAGATTTGTAATTAAGACATGATGTAATATTGTAAGTAATGAAGATATTTGTGTATGATGCTTACTGTAAGTTAAATGCATGAATGTATTTTTAGGTATTGGATATGTTGAGCTGGAAAGTCAATTAGGTACCTTGTGCTAAGTTGGGAAACGTTGAGAAAACAAAGATTATGCTGCCCAATTTCCGTTAAATCAATGATGAGAGGATGAGAGTTGAGCAATGATATAGGGATATCACAAGCTTGTTAAATAGGTTGTAAAATGTGTAGGATTGATTCCCCAAGAAAGATGCATGAAAAATATGAGTATAGGAAATTGCCCAGAAGAGGGGGCTTAAGCCTGCAAATGGAGGCTTAAGCCTGCTCAGGGGGCTTAAGCGCCCATGAGGGGGCTTAAGCGCCCTGATGCACCTGTGAAGACCAAAAGCTTTCTGCCGCATGGGGCTTTAGCGCCCAAATTGGGGGCTTAAGCGCCCAGGTAGCGCGCTTAAGCGCCCTGGAGCGAGCTTAAGCGCCCTTGGTGGCTAAAAAATGTAAATTCCCTCTGTCTGTGGGCGCTTAAGCGCCCTGGAGCGAGCTTAAGCGCCCTACCCGCGTAGTTTTTCAGCATACACCTGAGTTAGTAAAATTGTCATAACTTGAGCTACAGAGCTCCAAATGAGGAGCGGTTTGAAACCACGCGTAGCTAACAAAGAGATCTACAATATATTAGAAGTTGGGAAATAAATAAGAAGTAAATTAATGTTTTAAAAATGGAATAAGAACATGATATTAAGCTTGATTTATCTGATTCCGCAAAGTAATATGGTTATGATCACGCAATTGGGCATTATAAATTCGGCATGTTTTAAAATGAAAAATTTATCCGGATTTTAATTGAACCCATGTGATTGTAACTGCGCTTAATATGATAATGCGATGTTAACAAACCGGTTCTAGAACGGGGTGTTACAGCATGTTAGTTGGTTATAGGGCCACATCAAATGATCAACCAGTGACGGGTTTTTCCCTAATTGAATATGAAAATAATGTTTCTTAAAAATAATTTTATCTCCTATACATACATAAAAATATATGGGATCTATGTGAAAATAAAAGAGAGAAAAAGAAAATATGGATCCCAAAAACTTTTATTTGTATATAAAAGATTAAAATTATCTCCTACGACGTAAGAACCTTAAATCTCATTGAATATTCACCGAAACTTGAACCATTTGATGATATTGCCCTTTTTTGGGAGGAAAACAAAGATTATCCTCATCCACATATTAATTGCTCTATTTCCTTCCATATCGTAATGTCTGTTTAACAAATCAAAGAAACAAAATATGGGACCTCTCTCATGTAATTGAAAATATTAGGTCTTTATAAGATAGTTCAATAGACTAAGGACCAGTTAACTCTCAAATTAAAAGAGAAAGATTAAGGACAAGAAATCAGTACCTGGACACAAATGGAAAGACTTTTTATAAAAAAATTTAGGGTTTCAAAATAGCACAGGAGAAGACAATTAAAGCAGAATATTAAAGCTGGTTTAACAGCAGTTCATAAAAGTAATTTCACCTGTTGGTCAAATCATCAAATTATTTGTATTTTGTATCAATACGTGGTGCAATTTTGTGGAACATGTTTCTCTCACGTTATATGATATAAATAATGTGTCTATTGTTTGAATCTTATCCGAGAAAAAATGGATTCAGTATATAGAAAAATCTAAATCTGTAGTCTGATTGGAGTATGTTTTAGTCAACTTATGTAGGGCGCCCAAACTTCATGTTCTGTTCACTGGGTGTTGCTTAGAATTTGATGCACATTCATTCTGGCTCGTGATCATGTATTCAATGTTGGTTCTCTTCTTGACACCATGTTCATAGCAATAACGGTTTGCTCAAGGTTAAGTTTCATACTTTATCACTCTGATATTAGTTGGAAGGTGTATTTCAGCAGCGTTGTCAATCTGAAGAAAATATTTGAGATGTCTAAAGCATATCTACCAATAGGATAGATACCAATAAAATACAATGCATGAACACACATTAGGTTTCACCTGTGGAGGTGTCTTTGATTTGAAGTGGGTAATCTATTGGCCATTATCTCAGAAGGTGGGGTATACAGTCCAATTCAAATTCATAGCTAATCCTTGATCTCTTGTAATCTCCTTTAAGACACCTCCAAGACAATTGCATGTGATCTTTTGTGATCCTTGGCCTCTCTGTAGACCACATCATATAGTCCCACAAAAATAATGTTATTGTGAAATTGGTTTGAAAAGACCCTTTATCTACTATATATACAACATATCCTGGTTTCTAAGGCAACACAAGTCATTTGCATCCAAGTATCAGAACTCAATATTAAATCCACGACTACATGCATTTGATGGTTATTATACTTGGGCTACTGTTTTTCTTTTATATATATGGATGAAATTCAACACGGTGCTACACAGGCCATATTTCAGTGGCCACCATGTACTAAGTAGTGATGGTCATGGTAAATTATGTGGCTAGTCCTAAAATCTCAAACAAATCGAAGATAAAACTAATGAAATTATGAAATGTAATTTTTCATTTGAAAATAAAAAAAATAATAATAGCTATTTTGTTATTGAATTTGGTTATAGAATTATAGGTTAATGATTTTATCTCAATTTAATATATTATGAATTATTATTATTATGATTTAAATTGACATCAAATTTAACTAGATTCTTATCCAATAATTACGTTCTTTTACCATAATATTTTTTTAACTCATAATCATTAAATCATAATAGTTACTTGAAGTTGAACCTTTCTCTTTTTTCTGCAAAAAGGGGGGAAATCGATTTTTTGAAAGGAAATAATCTTTATTTTCTTTCTCAATTTACAGCTCCAAGAAAAGAATTTTCCATTTTTTCATGTTCAGATTTTAAACTAAACACATTCAGCTTATTATTAGTGCCTTTGATTTTCACATTGATATTTGAAAGGAACATGAGAGAAATACGGTAACGTTCATAAACTTCTCATTGATCAGATGAACATTTTTACACTTCCCCAAGTAAGATAACAAAAAAAGGAGAAAATATTTTCAAGGCAAGACGAAACTGTGTTACAAAAATTGTGTTAATTAGTATATATGTATATGTCAGTCCTATCTTCATGGGGTTAGCACCTATCCAAGCGAGAAGTGATATCTAAGAACACATCTTCTCCGCAAGGAATTGTGAGACCACCGAGTGGATGATCATACCGGAATTCTTCCTCAGCTTGGCTCAGCAAGTATTGAAATGAAGGTTGGTTCAAATATGATATGGGAATCACAAACCGTTTCATTTTCTCTCCAACATACACTGCAAGATAGCCCTTTGGCACGTCCACTACTTTCGAAGATGCTTTGTTTGCAACAAATGAAGCTCTTCTGAGACCTGGTAAACGAAAACCCATTTTTATATGTGTTGAGACTTGAGAAGAGAATGATCTCAAAAAAGAAGACCTGTACAAGTTTGTGAATTTTGAATGCTTCAGGATGTGAATGATTTGTGTTGGTCCTGAATGCTTGCAGCCATGAATATATATAGATGAAAGGATATCGTTGGCTACTTGAATGATTGGTGGAGGAGGAGTCATAGGACCTACTGGGAGACAAGGGCATACAAGAGGTCACATGGTGTTGTCTTTGAGACTTTCTCAAGGATCACCACATTTATTATACAAGATAATACAAGTCCCTCCTTCTGAACCAAAGGTTAACACGTTACCCCACTTTAAACAAAACAGACTTATGATCACAAACCTCAGAAATGATATGTAACTATCCATTGCCTTATAATTGGTCAGCCAGATGTCACTTACCAGCTGTACATGCATTTGGATTAAGCTACGTTATCAAAATCATGGAAACATGTCCAAAGCATGTTTACAAAATTAAGGAGTACCAATTAATGTATGAAGAAACAATAGGTTTCACTTGAGCACGTCTCATTTGATGGCAAGTGGATGCTCTATATTGGCCATTGTTTGAGAAGGTGGCCATATACACTCTTAATACATGATAGAGGCCTCTAAGACAAAACCACGTGATATGCCCTACATCGTTTAACCCCTTCAACAATCATTTTTCATTTCTCTTGTAAATGGGTTTTCAGGGTATCTTGAAAACTATAAATATACTTACTCTTTCCAAGACAAGTCATTGGCAACCTGAAGCATCAAAACTTAGACACATTCTTTTTAAATTTGAGAGCTTTAAAAATTTGCCTTGTTCTTCTTCCTGCAAAATACACAAACACGAAAGATGGGTTTCCGTTTACCTACTATTCGACGTGCATCATTCTCTGCTAGCCAAGCAGCTTCAAAATCCGTAGAAGTTCCAAAGGGCTATCTTGCCGTGTATGTTGGAGAGAATCAGAAGCGGTTTGTGATCCCAATATCATACCTGAACCAACCTTCATTTCAAGATTTACTGAACCAAGCTGAGGAAGAGTTTGGATATGATCATCCCATGGGTGGCCTCACAATTCCATGCAGCGAAGATGAATTCCATCACATCAAATCTCGCTTGAATGGCCTATAAATCTTACTGTTTTAAACTAACATAGATTAGAAGAGACATTTACAATAGGCATCTTCTCAACTTGTAAAGATTACCACTTTTCTCGGGAAACGGAGAAGAAGAAAAAAATACCATACTTTCTCATCTGTTCCGCTACTTTTGTACAAAGAAGTCTATTAACTTCAAATGGAATTTAGAATTGATTTTCTTTCCTAGATATTGGCTAAACCGGTCCTCAATGTTTTCAGCTCCTAAAATTCTCACTAATAGCCCGTTTGGATTAGCTTTTTTTTTCCTTCAAAAACTGCTTTTTTTTTTAAGAAAAAAAAGTATTTTTCGAAAAAAGTCTATTTGAATGCCTATTTCTAAAAAAAACAGAAGTCATAAAAAAAGTCAAAAATCTACTTTTTTTTATGAAGTTAAAATTTTTAGCTTTTACAAAAAGCAGAAGTCAGAAGTCAAATATTTTTTTTCAAAAATCAAATATTTTTTAAAAAATCTAAATAGTTGTAACTTTTATAGAAAGTACTTTTAAAATAAGGAAATGATAAAAAGGATTTTCTTCAAAAGTCAATACAAACGACCCCTTAATTCCTTATAGCAGGAAAATATTACTTCCAAAATCCATTATTAACATATTGGTCAAGTCAGTGCTCCCCTTTATTTTATTTTTTTCTCACATTAAGAGGCATCCATGTGACCACAAATCCAACTAAACGGCGCATGTTAACCAGTGAATTTCCTGCTTATGATGCACTGCGATGCTTCTCTAAGTACTGAATACTATCACAAGTTATAGTCATTAGTTTAAGCCATACACACACCCTAAATATTAGCAAAATAGGGGTCGTTATTGAAGAACAATATTTCTCTGTAAGAACATCAATTTTGCTCATTTATACCCTTGCTTTTTTTTTTTTCCCAATAAATTCCAAAAACTTTTCCATTCGACAAAGATATACCTACCTCTAATGCATCAAAGGTTTTCGCCTTAGTCAGATAATAGTTATGAAACAGAAATTATAATTTTTTATTATTATCATATCAACGAATTTATATTATTCACCATTTTGCCAAAACAAAATATAAAGAGACAGTCAGTCAGCCACTATCTTGCATCCGCTCTTTATAGATTCTTGTCGTTTCTGCAGCTGTTACTAGTGAGCAAAAATTAAGTACTAACTTTAAATGGAAAGGTGTAAGAAATCTAAATCCTAAATCTATACAAGTACTCTGCTGCTGAAGCGATGATAGCGGTGATGGTAGTGATAATGGTGGTGACGCTGATGGTAGTGGTTATGATGGTGATGGTGGTGGTCTATGTAGCACCGATACGGACACATGACACGACACGACACAACACTCTGACACGGTAATTCTAAAAAATGTTAAATTTCGACACGTTAGGACACGTTTTGATATTAAACAATATTTTTAATTTATGTAGTGTATATTCATCAATTTATGTAGTGTATTTTTAATATTATATTTGATATTCAATAATTTAACAAAAAAATGAAACTAAACTTATAATATTCATCAATTTTGCAAAGAAACATAAGATATCCTAAATATTTATATTAAACTCAATAAAATGGTAATCGTAATCCAACGAATCTACCAGTTGAAACTAAAAACTCAACGCAACGCAACATTTGAATCTTCTTTTGAATTTCTATAACGCGTGTTAGAGTGTTGGGAAGTGTTGGAGTGTCAGAGAGTGTCGGGAAGTGTCGGACACGACACGTCATGGTTTTTGAAGTGTCGGTGCTTCATAGGTGGTGGTGACATAGAGGTGTTGGTGGTGACAGTAGTTGCCGCAGCGATGGTGGTGATAATGGTGGCGATAGTGGTGGTGGCAGCAATGGTGGTGGTGATAGTAGTGGTGGTGATGGTGACGACATGGTGGTGGTAGTGGTGGCGGTGGAGGTGGCGGTTGCAGTGGCGGTGGCGATGGTGTAGTGGTGGTTGCGGTGGCAACAGAGTGATATATAATGGTAGTGGTGGCGGCGGCAATGGTGATAATGGTGGCATAGTGGCGGTGGCAGCGATAGTGGTGGTGGTGGTGACGACAGTGGCTGCGACGATGGTGATGATGATGACATGGTGGTGGTGGTGGCGGTGGCGGTGGCGATGGTGTAGTGGTTGCGTGGTGGTGGCGGTGGCAGTGGCAGTGGCATGATAATGGTCGTGATGGCGACGGCGGTGGTGACAGCAGTGTCTGCGACGATGATGATGGAGATTACATGGTGGCGGCATGGCGGGGGTGTAGTGGTGGAGGCAGCGGCGATGGTGGAAGCGATAGTGGTGATGGTGGTAATGGCAGCGGCTACGATGGTGGTGGTGGTGGTGGTACGACGATAGTAGCAGTGGTGGTGACGAGATGTTGGTGGCAGTGGTGATGGTGATGATGATATTGGTGGAGAGTAATTAAGAGAGATAAGTGTTTCTCATTTTGTGCCCAGGAACAAAAATATAGAAATTTTTTGAATTTTTTTTTTCTGATCCTTAGCACAAAAATTAAACCGGTTCATCTCGGGAACAAAAAAATAAACCGATTTTACCAAGGGTGTGCATGACTATAATAGCCCTAACCTAATTAATTAGCAAATTACATATAATTAAATAATTAAGCATGTTTTAGTGAGTAAAATTAAGTATAAGGCTTAATTAAATGAATCTGAGTCACTTTGAAGTTAAAAAGTGTACTCAGTGAAAATTAAGGGGTATAAATGGGTACTGGCGAAAGTGCCCAAAATATAAAAATAAAATTATAAATATTCCTAGAATAATATTCTAGACTATTGGGTGAAGTTTGGTAATTATTGGAGTTAAATAGATAGACGAACCGATACCCACTTAAAACCACTTAACATAAGGTTAAGTGGCATAAAACAAAAAAAAAGAACCCATTTCCCACCCACTTCCCCGTCGAACCAGCATCAGAGAAAAGAAGAGAAGAAGAAGAAGAAGGAGAGGGAAAGAGAGAGAGGAGATCATAGAGTGAGCAAACCTTGGCCAAATCAACTCATTCCAAAGCCTAAACCACTCTAAATCTTCCCCTCTTTCATAATCCAAGCTTAGTTTTGAGTGGGGAGCATTGTGGAGAGGGATATTGGCTCTCAAAAATTCGCCCCTTTTGAGAAGTGTGGGGTTTTGGGAGTTTCAACCTCCATTGAAGCTTGAGGAGCCATCAATCCTTGGTTGTGTGACCATTGGTGGTAAGATTCTAACCCTTGAACCTCATGATTCCTTGGAGATTTGCATGAGTTTAGGGTTTGTGAATAGTAAATTGAGGTTTTTGATGAAATGTTGTTAAATTAGCTATGTTCTAGGAAGAATGGAACTTAGAGCATGTTGTGAAAAATGCTAGGAACGACGTTTAATCGGTGAAAATGAGCTTAGATAGCTAAATGAGTATATTTGTAAAATGGCAAGAATATGACACTTAGATATTGGATTTCTTGCATTGTTGATAAATGGTTTGGTTTGGTTGGTTGTTGATTATGCCTTGATGTTGTCTAGGATTGAGGCAATTGGACCAACCTTGAGAGACCAACCATTGGAGCAAGCTATGGAGCTTGATTAGCTCCATTGGATAGGTAAGTTCATGCTTATGTTTGGTATGAATTGTATAGCTTGGTTGATAAGCTATGAGATGTTATTGGACGCAATATGTGTTAATTGCATTAAACCTTGTGTAGGTTTTGGTTGAGAAGTGGAGTATTGTAATTGACTGACTGTGGAACCTGTTGGTGGTGAACAAAGGTCGAATTGAAGCTTGAGGTAAGCCTTCGGACCTTGGGTGTAATTCCCTTGACTGTTCCACCAAGCCCTGAAAGGGTAGAGGTTGTGATTGTGTATATAAATGCAATAAAATAGTGTAATGCTTTGTTATACGTATGTATATGCATTTGGTGTGGCATAGGATGGTGTTTCCCTATGTTGGTATGTTGCATGACGATGCGTAAATCATACTTGGTAGTTAGCTGGCCAGTAGGACTATTTGCATCTGAGTTTCCTTAGGACAGCTTGAGAGCTCGAGGGATTTCTCCTGGAGATGTTATTGCACTTTGCATAGATATGTATTTACTGCATTATTATTGTTATTGCTATTACACTGATATGGAACTGTGGGTTGGAGAGATGCTCCAAGGACCCCTGGTTTACTGGATATATTCGTATATCTCACCCCGTGTTGTGGGGACCCTCTTTCAGGTAAGGATGCTGCAGGAGCCACCAGTGGCAAGTGGCCATACTTGGACTAGTGTTGATGCATGAGGATTCAGTATTTTGATATCATACATGTTGTTTTGTAGCTCACATGTATAGGATTGTAATTCATAGACCATTGATAGATGTATGATTTGTATATTGGAATGGACTTAGCCTATGCTCATGCCTTTGGTCATCTCTTTTGTTGATGGGAGCCAAGGGAATGATCATAGTGTTTTGTAAGCTAAGTTCCATGAATTGTAATGAACATGATTTGTAATTGATGAGTACTTTAATTTTAATATATGTATGTTCATTAAGTATTGGATTGTTGAACTGGAAACTAAATTAGGTACCTAGTGCTAAATTGGGAAATGTTGAGAAAACAAATACATCCTGTCCGTTTGACCAATTTTCACACCCAATGTGATGGAATTGGACTTTGATGTCTCTATGGAAGTTGTAGACATTTCTCTTAGCTTTCCATAGAGACCAACAATGGTGTAATTTGAGTGAGTATAGCTCAAGTTATGAGTGGAAAACCATAAGTAGGTTAAATGACCTTGTTTTGGGTCACCCAGCCCTGTGGATGGCGCCTGGGGCGCCAGATTCACGCTTGGGGCGCCAAATTACGAGATCAGACAGTAGCATCCATGCTTGGGGCGCCAGATCCACGCTTGGGGTGTCAACTTTCTGTTTTCCCACGCTCTGGGCGTGGATCTCACGCTGCGGGCGTGGGGGTTCTGGAGGTTTCGCACCCTTTTCTTAGAAAATGCATAACTTTGGCTACAGTGCTCCGATTTGAGCGCGGTTTGAACCCACGCGTAGCTAATGGAGAATCCTATAACATAGTATAAGATGGGAATCATAAAAGGAGTTTAGAATTAATTTGATAATTAAAGTGATGAAGACATTTAACGACGTATTGTCAAGTAGAATGGGAATATAATATTAAGTTTAGTCCCACTATTCCGCGAAGTATATATAGTTAAGATCACGCACTTGGTTATTTAAATTCGGCTTGTTTAAAAAGGAAAAAATTATCCGGTTTTCTAATTGAACCAATGTGATTGTAACTGCGCTTAATGCCGTACGCAATGATAACAATTCGGTTCTAGAACGGGGTGTTACAATGGCAACCTTCCCGGAATCAAATTTTTTTTTTTAATTTATGTTCCTGGGAAGAGAAATGGATAGAAAACTCGTTTGGTAAAACCGGTTTATTTTTTTGTTCCCGGGATGAACCGGTCTAATTTTTGTGCTGGGGAACAGAAAAAAGAATAAAAAAATTTCTGCTTTTTTGTTCCCGGGCACAAAATGAGAAACATTTGTCTCTCTCAATCACTCTCCACCTCTACCATCATCACCACTACCACCACTATCATCCCGACACGACCACCGCCACCATCGTCGTACCACTAGTGCCGTCGTTACCACCACCACCACAACCATGATACCACTGCCACCATCACCACCGCCTCCATCCATATCTACCACCATGCCACCGTCACCACCACCATTACCATCATCGTCACCACCATCATCATTGTAGCCACCGCCACCACTACCACCACCACGACACCACCACTGTCATCACCATCACCACCACCACCACTGTCACCAACCACCACTACCATCGCCATAGCCACCGTTGTCATCACCACAACCACCACCACCACCACCACCGTGCCTTCACCGTCGCCACCACCAACCACCACCACCACCATCTCCATCAACCACCACCATCAATGTTGCATCCACTCTGTCACCATCATCACCATGCCATCGCCACCGCCACCACCTCTACCATCACCATCAACACCATTACCACCACCACGCCACCTCCGCTGCTGCCACCATCACCATATAAAAAGGAAAGTGATGATCCAAAGTTTTATTATGTTTAATAGGAATTATTTTTTATTATATTATTTGTTGTGTTATCAAACGCAATTCTCATTCTTGGAATAAAAATAGAACATGTTATCAATCAGATTTTTTTCTCAGGAACTGTTTCAAGGCACAGAAATGGAAAAGAATTGTTTCTTTTCAGAAACAGTGCCAGGGAACAGAATGGTTGTCATGCACACCCCAAACGAGTTTTCTATCCATTTCTGTTCCCGGGAGCAGAAATTAAAAAGAAATTGATTCTGGGAAGGTTGTCATGCACTCAAAGTGGCTGAGAACCAATTTTTTATTTCTCTCTTCTCCTTAATGGGTCTTACAACTTTTTTGTATATTGTATAAGATAAATATGTCTCATCTAACATGAAAAACATATTCCCTTTTCTTGTAATCAATTAATTTACACAAAATCCACACGTATTGATTATATTCAAAACTAGGTTATATACGGGTTTGGGTTCATAACAGCTATCTGTGATAGTTAACTAGCCCTTATGAAGACCTATACTCAGTTACATAATTAAGAGAGAGGTACCAGGAACCCAATGAAGCTCATCATACCACGAGTCCATGACAACAACTCGGAGTGGCTGTGGCTAAATAAGAAAATATGAAATTATCGATTTCAATTTTTTAGTTTCACTTGGGCTACAGTTTTTCTTTTATCTATGTGGATGGAATTCAACACGGTGCTACACTGGCCATTTTTCAGTGGCCACCATGTACTAAGTAGTGATGGCCATGGTAAATTATGTGGCTAGTCCTACAATCTCAAAGAAAGAAGATAAAACTAATGAAATTATAAAATGTAATTTTTCATTTGAAAATAAAAATAAAAATAGCTATTTTAATTTGTTATTGAATTTGGTTATAGAATGGTTAATGATTTTATCTGAATTTAATACAGTAAGAATTATTATTATGATTTAAATTGACATAAAATTTAACTAGATTCTTATCCAATAATTACGTTCTTTTACCATAATATTTTTTTTATTCATAATCATTAAATCATAATAGTTACTTGAACCTTTCTCATTTTCTGCAAAAAGGGGCGAATAATCGATTTTACGAAAGAAAATAATCTTTATTTTCTTTTTCAATTTACAGCTCCAAGAATAGAATTTTCCATTTTATCATGTTCAGAGTATAAACTGAACATTCAGCTTATTATCAGTGCCTTTGATTTTCACATTGATATTTGAAAGGAACATGAGAGAAATACGGTAACGTTCATAAACTTCTCATTCAGATGAACATTTTTACACTTCCCCAAGTAAGATAACAAAAAAAAGAAGAAAATATTTTCAAGGTAAGAAGAAACTGTGTTACAAAATTGTGTTAGTATATATGAATATGTCAGTCTTATCTTCATGGGGTTAGCACCTATCCAAGCGAGAGGTGATATCTAAGAACACATCTTCTCCGCAAGGAATTGTGAGACCACCGAGTGGATGGTCATACCCGAATTCTTCCTCAGCTTGGCTCAGCAAGTATTGAAATGAAGGTTGGTTCAAATATGATATGGGAATCACAAACCGCTTCATTTTCTCTCCAACATACACTGCAAGATAGCCCTTTGGCACGTCCACTACTTTCGAAGTTGCTTTGTTCGCAACAAATGATGCTCTTTTGATACCTGGTAAACGAAAACCCATTTTTGTACGAGACTTGAGAAGAGAATGGTTTTAAAAAAAGGACTTGTACAAGTTTGTGAATTTTGAATGCTTCAGGATGTGAATGATTTGAGTTGGTCCTGAATGCTGGCAGCCATGAATATATATAGATGAAAGAATATCGTTGGCTACTTGAATGATTGGTGGAGGAGGAGTCGGACCTACTGGGAGACAAGGGCATACAAGAGGTCACATGGTGTTGTCTTTGAGACTTTCTCAAGGATCACCACATTTATTATACAAGATAATACAAGTCCCACCTTCTGAACCAAAGGCTAACACGTTATCCCACTTGAAATAAAACAGACTTATGATCACAAACCTCAGAAATGATATGTAACTATCCATTGCCTTATAATTGGTCAGGCAGATGTCACTTGCCAGCTGTACATTTTCATTGAGCTACGTTATCAAAATCATGAAAACATGTCTAAAGCATGTTTACAAAATTATGGAGTACCAATTAATGTATGAAGTAACATTAGGTTTCACTTGAGCACGTCTCATTTGATGGCAAGTGGATGCTCTATATTGGCCATTGTGTAAGAAGGTGGCCATATACAGTACTCTTAATACATGATAGAGGCCTCTAAGACAAAACCACGTGATATGCCCTACATCGTTTAATCCCTTCAACAATCATTTTTCATTTCTCTTGTAAATGGGTTTTCAGGGTATCTTGAAAACTATAAATATACTTACTCTTTCCAAGACAAGTCATTGGCATCCTGAAGCATCAAAACTTAGATACATTCTTTTTAAATTTGAGAGCTTTAAAAATTTGCCTTGTTCTTCTTCCTGCAAAATACACAAACACGAAAGATGGGTTTCCGTTTACCTACTATTCGACGTGCATCATTCTCGGCTAGCCAAGAAGCTTCAAAATCCGTAGAAGTTCCAAAGGGCTATCTTGCCGTGTATGTTGGAGAGAATCAGAAGCGGTTTGTGATCCCAATATCATACCTGAACCAACCTTCATTTCAAGATTTACTGAACCAAGCTGAGGAAGAGTTTGGATATGATCATCCCATGGGTGGCCTCACAATTCCATGCAGCGAAGATGAATTCCATCACATCAAATCTCGCTTGAATGGCCTATAAATCTTACTGTTTTAAACTAACATAGATTAGAAGAGACATTTTGTTCAATAGGCATCTTCTCAACTTGTAAAGATTACCCCTTTTCTCGGGAAACGGAGAAGAAGAAAAAAATACTATACTTTCTCATCTGTTCCGCTGTACTTTTGTATAAAGAAGTCTATTAACTTCAAATGGAATTTAGAATTGAATTTCTTTCCTAGATATTGGTTAAACCGGTCCTCAATGTTTTCAGCACCTAAAATTCTCACTAATTCCTTATAGCAGAAAAATATTACTTCCAAAATCCATTATTAACATATTGGTCAAGTCAGTGCTCCCCTTTATTTTATTTTTTTCTCACATTAAGAGGCATCCATGTGACCACAAATCCAACTAAACGGCGCATGTTAACAAGTGAATTTCCTGCTTATGATGCACTGCGATGCTTCTCTAAGTACTGAATACTATCACAAGTTATAGTCATTAGTTTAAGCCATGCTAAGTCCCCCCCCCCCCCCCCCCCCCCCCCCACACACACACACACACACACACACACCCTAAATATTAGCAAAATAGAGGTCGTTATTGAAGAACAATATTTCTCTGTAAGAACATCAATTTTGCTCATTTATACCCTTGCTTCTTCTTTTTTCCAATAAATTCCAAAAACTTTTCCATTCGACAAAGATATACCTACCTCTAATGCATCAAAGGTTTTCGCCTTAGTCAGATAATAGTTATGAAACAGAAATTATAATTTTTTATTATTATCATATCAACGAATTTATATTATTCACCATTTTGCCAAAACAAAATATAAAGAGACAGTCAGTCAGCCACTATCTTGCATCCGCTCTTCATAGATTCTTATCGTTTCTGCAGCTGTTACTAGTGAGCAAAAATTAAGTATTAACTTTAAATGGAAAGGTGTAAGAAATCTAAATCCTAAATCTATACAAGTACTCTGCTGCTGGATACTAATTAAACTTTACTGAAATTAATAATTAATAATCATTAATGACTAAAATTAATAATAAATAATTAAATAAAAAATCTTCTTTTTACTAGAATAATAACCAATTATATTAAATTAATAATTATTAGGTATATAAATTAAGGGCAATGCATTTCTCATGTTATTGGAAAGGAGAAAAGTTTCCTATACACTCAAATTCATAGTGGGGCCCACACATAAAAAAGAAAGAAAATAAAAAAAATTATTGCACGCAAAACGAACTCTCACTAACATGAGAAAGGGTTCTCCTACAACATGAGAACTCTTTTTCCCATAAATTAATTAATGCATATATAAAACATAAATATAGCGTATATGAAATTTGTTGTTGCATAAGATGCAATATGAGAAAAATATTCTTCATTATTGTAAGGGAAATATGCGTCTGGTGTTGTATGGGATAATTTTATCTTATGCACACACAAAAAGTGAATGAGATCTGCTACGATATGATAGACCGATATGTCCAATCAGAGATTTGTATGTTAATATATATAGGATCTGTTTGTTCTCCCTTAGGTACCTATAGGGAAGGTACCCTAGAGATCAGCGAATCACTGTGCACAATAATATATACGACATAGTCAAGGCGTGTGGTGTGTGCACAGTGACAAGCTAACAGAGAGGGTTTAGAGAGTGTGTACCTTATTGGTTTAACCCCTTATTTATAGATGGGTTACCTGGTAGGCGTGGACTTTTGGGCCTCTTAGGAGTATTGGGGGTCCAATTGTTGATCCATTGCTGCGTAGTAGGATTAGTATAATTAAGGAATATTTCCTTAATTCCCTCTTAGCTGTCTGGATAGGATCGTCATTAATAGAAGATTCCCTTCCTGTTTGTGCTATCCTTTATTGGACTTTCTAGAATATAGGCCTTTGTCAGGTCCATAACAAGATCCAACTTTTTTCTTTCTTTCTCTTTTTCTTAAAGGTCTTATCCACTGTTTTGTATATTGCATGAGATAAAATTATCCCATTTAACATGAAAAACATATTCCCCATTCGTGTAAGAAAAATATGTCTCGTTTTAAATTGTCTCATACGCACACAAAAAGGGTGTGCATGACAACCATTCTGTTCCCTGACACTGTTTCTGAAAAGAAACAATTATTTTTTATTTCTGTGCCTTGTAACAATTTCTGAGAAAAAAAATATGTTTGAAAACATGTTTTATTTTTATTCCGAGAATGAGAATTGCGTTTGATAACACAACAAATAATAGAATAAAAAATATTCCTATTAAGCATAAATTTTTTTGAATCATCACTTTCCTTTTCATATGGTGTGGTGGTGGTGGTGGTGGCAGCGACAATAGTGGTGGCGGTAGCGGTGGCGTCATGGTGGTGGTGGTGGTGGTGGTGGAGGTGATGGCATGATGGTGATAATGGTGGTGGTGGCAGTGGCAATAGTGGTGATGACATGGTGGCGGTGGCGGTGGTAATGATGACATGGTGGTGGTAGTTGTGTGGTGGTGGTGACGATAGTAGCTGCAGCGATGATGGTAGTGATGGTAGTGATAATGGTGGTGACGCTGATGGTAGTGGTTATGATGGTGATGGTGGTGGTGACATAGAGGTGTTGGTGGTGATAGTAGTTGCCGCAGCGATGGTGGTGGTGGCGGCGGTGGCGGTGGTGATGGTGTAGCGGTGGTTGCGATGGCAACGGTGTAATATATAATGGTAGTGGTGGCAGCGGCAGTGGTGGTAATGGTGGCATAGTGGCAGTGACAGCGATAGTGGTGGTGGTGGTGACGACAGTGGCTGCGACGATGGTGATGATGATGACATGGTGGCGGTGGTGTAGTGGTTGCGTGGCGATGGCGGTGGCGGTGGCATGATAATGGTAATGATGGCGGTGGTGGTGGTGACAACAGTGTCTGCGACGATGATGATGGAGATTACATGGTGGCGGCATAGCGGTGGTGTAATGGTGGAGGTGACGGCGATGGTGGTAGTAGTGGTGGCGTGGTGGTGGTGGTGATGGTGATGGCAGCGGCTACAATGATGGTGGTGGTGGTACGACGATAGTAGCAGTGGTGGTGACAGGATGGTGGTGGCAGTGGTGATGGTGATAATACTAGAAAAATCATGTATAGCGAGGGAATTGCTATGAAAATTCCGTCGCTAATTTCATCATCGCTACTACTTTCCCTCGCAAATTTCCTCGTAAACGATTTTGCGAGAAAATTTGCGAGGGAAAGTAGTAGCGATGATGAAATTAGCGACGGAATTTGCATAGCAATTCCCTCGCTATATAGAATTTTTCTAGTATATAGTGGTGGAGAGTAATTGAGAGAGATAAGTGTTTCTCATTTTGTGCCTAGAAACAAAAATATAGAAATTTTTTGATTTTTTTTCTGTTTCCCAGCACAAAAATTAAACCGGTTTATCCCGGGAACAAAAAAATAAACCGATTTTACCAAGGGTGTGCATGACAACCTTCCTGGAATCAATTTTTTTATTAATTTATGTTCCTGGGAAAAGATATGGATAGAAAACTCGTTTGGTAAAATCGGTTTATTTTTTTGTTCCCGGGATGAACCGGTCTAATTTTTGTGCTGGAGAACAGAAAAAAGAATAAAAAAATTTATGTTTTTTTGTTTCCGGGCACAAAATGAGAAACACTTGTCTCTCTCAATCACTCTCCACCTCTACCATCATAACCACCACCACTATCATCCCGACACGACCACCGCCACCATCGTCGTACCACTAGTGTCGTCGTCACCACCACCACCACCACCATGATACCACTACCACCATCACCACCGCCTCAATCCATATCTACCACCATGCCACCGTCACCACCACCGCCACCACCACCACCACCACCATCTCCATCAACCACCACCATCAATGTTGCATCCACTGCCGTCTCCATGCCATCGCCACCGCCACCTCCTCTACCATCACTATCACAACCACCGCCGCAGCCACTGCCATAACCACTACTACCATGCCACCACCATCACCAACTACCACCACTATTGTCGCAACCATTGTCGTTACTACCGCCGCCGCCACCACCACTATGCCACCATTACCACCACCGTTTCTGCAACCACTGTTGTCACCACCACCACGATTGTCGCCACTATCACGCCACCACCGTCGTCGCCGCCACCATCACCACCACAACCGCCACCATCACTACTGTCGCAGTCATTGCCGTCACCACCACCACCATCGCCACTACCACTATCGCTACGTCCACCACGACTATACAATCACCATCAACACCATTACTACCACCGCCGCCGCAGCCACTGCCGTCACCACCACCACCATTACCACCACCACGCCACCTCCGCTGCTGCCACCATCACCATATAAAAAGGAAAGTGATGATCCAAAGTTTTATTATGTTTAATAGGAATTATTTTTTATTATATTATTTGTTGTGTTATCAAACGCAATTCTCATTCTTGGAATAAAAATAGAACATGTTATCAATCAGATTTTTTTTCTCAGTAACTGTTTCAAGGCACAGAAATGAAAAAGAATTGTTTCTTTTCAGAAACAGTGCCAGGAACAGAATGGTTGTCATGCACACCCCAAACAAGTTTTCTATCCATTTCTTTTCTCGGGAGCAGAAATTAAAAAGAAATTGATTTTGGGAAGGTTGTCATGCACACTCAAAGTGGCTGAGAACCAATTTTTTATTTCTCTCTTCTCCTTAATGGGTCTTACAACTTTTTTGTATATTGTATAAGATAAATATGTCTCATGTAACATGAAAAACATATTCCCTTTTCTTGTAATCAATTAATTTACACAAAATCCACACGTGTTGATTATAATCAAAACTAGGTTATATACTGGTTTGGGTTCATAACAGCTATCTGTGATAGTTAACTAGCCCTTATGAAGACCTAGTATACTCAGTTACATAATTAAGAGAGAGGTACCAGGAACCCAATGAAGCTCATCATACCACGAGTCCATGACAAAAACTCGGAGTGGCTGTGGCTAAAAAAGCAAATATGAAATTATCGATTTCAATTTTTTAGTCTCACTTGGGCTACAGTTTTTCTTTTATCTATGTGGATGAAATTCAACACGGTGCTACACTGGCCATTTTTCAGTGGCCACCATGTACTAAGTAGTGATGGTCATGGTAAATTATGTGGCTAGTC